CCCCCCCCCCCCCCCCCTTTTGTTCTTTTTTCATGGTGTCTTCTTGTATGTGTATTTCACCTTTTGAATCTGATATAATTGATTAATTACCACTGGAAAGGTTATCTATTTCATCATCTTGAACGGGTTTTCATGATAAACCTTTTTTTGTGTGTATCAAAGCATCTCATAGTGTGAAAAAAAAGGCATACAAATCATTGAAATCAACAATGAACCCACTCAAATTGCAAAAAAAGAGATGGGGAGACAGTACAGCCAGAGTGTATGCATATATCTACAACAAACTGTGGCATGTTTCTTTACTTACACCCTATTCACACACCACTTGGTCAAAAAGAGTTACTAACCTGTTAACAGCTTCTTTACCAATACTACGGAACAAAAACACCAGAACAGATTCGTTTGAAGAGCTATCTGTATAACCTCATCAGGTAGTCTCAGATGTTCTTGCCGGCTACACAGTTGCATTGTCCAAATCATTGTACCAAAAAAAACGTGATGGGTCGCTATCCGTTGCAGCGTTCGGAGGAAGATGAAAAATTCTGATGATAGGCATGTCATTGTCCTGGATTCTCCCCATTCAGAATCAGGCTCTTTGCCTACTAGAAAGTGTACGGGTCACCTGAGGCACTTCCTCATAACCATCGGGCTCATCATCTTCGTCGTCAGATGATAGTAGAGACGGTCCCATCCATGCCTTGAAACCCTCGTTGACCCGTCTTTCGACTTCTGGTGTGACTTCCAAAGGATTATTAGCTTCTAGCATCTCCAGCCCGAGATTTCTGTTACCAAACTCTCCTTCGTCAAGGATTATTGCCGCTCTCCTTCGAAGGAAGAACGCAGTTCCTGCATATAAGACGACTAAACCCCACGAAGATATCTCGTAGCACCAAAACAATGGCATGGAACAGTTGCTGCCCAATGTCAGGAGACTTGAACCAAGAAATAGAGCGAGAAGACCAAAGATGATGGCAAAGACCACATTCAGAATTGATAGGCAGCGAACTCCACCTATGAATTGAGAAAAGATTAAAAATGTACATATATTCTGATGAGCAAGCTCGGCAGCAGCAAGGCCATGATGACAAAATAAACAAAATGACCGAAACACATTACTCACTCCACATCCTTTTTAGTCTATTATTATTATTATTTTAAGGTGTTATATCAGCCAGAGAATTGAAGAACATATGAGCATTATGAGCCATGCACAATGAATTCAAACATAAATGCCAGAAACCAAATAGCCTTACTGAGCAAATATACCTCTCCTCGAAGCACAGTAGTTATTTTCTACTACTTTTAGACATCCATGGCGATAAGGAGCAGAATAAGCCACAACAATTCCTGCAATGTTTTCGAGAAAAGAAAAGAATAATGAACTAAGAAGTACGAGATGCCTCACGCCAGTATGCAAAGATGAACAGCAGACTGACTCAAAATCCTGAAGGAAAAGCAAATAATAGGAAATGTTTCACTATTTTTAGAAAACAAAGGCAGCGAAAACAAGTGTTCAAAACAATAATAGAAAACATCACAATGATTATGCAGTCTGGACCTCCTAGTAGGACAGTGAGAAAGAACTGAGGCTCTTGCCTCTCTATCAGTCCAATACACACACAAAGGTTGGCTTTTTTCCTCTTTCCACTGCATATAACTAATTATCTTATATCTATATAGAGAGCGGGGGTATAATGCTCAAAAGGGAAAGTACACCAACTGAGCTCTTTCATCATAGACCAAATATGATCTAACAAAACCTACCTGATGCCTGATGAACAAATATATTTATCTCCAGCTTCTCTTATACCCATACAAGATCGAAATATTTGATCAAAATCCGACGAAATGCTCATTTTCGGAGCATGAAGACAAACAGAGGAACGGTTATTGGCACACAGCTAAACCCATCAACACTAAGATTGGCTTTCACAAAAAGAAAAGCTAATTACATCGAGGGCTAATCTAACAGCTATCCGGGCTTTGAGCAATCATATTCAATCACCTCTACCTAATTTTCCCCCACCGATCAACAATTTCAGAAGCCAAGATTCCAAATTATGCTAAAGTAGCAAAAAATGTATGTCATTTGGCGATCCTAACCTGCGACGAGATAAGCCGATGATACAAGGAAGATTATCGTCGACGGAACGAAAACGACCATCCAGTAGTAATCCACAGTTTCTTGATCCGTCAAGTAAAAAGCACCAGAAAACAGATCTGAGTCACCGGATTTGCCATTGATGGGCAATGACTGTAGCTTCTTGTCACTGCAAAACGGCCTCTTCAGAACATCCGAAGGAAATACGATCTTCAAACTCACGATCGTGCACGTGAAGATGACAAAGCAAATGAAGCCCACGGTCGCCATTAACATGGGTCTCTGAAGCTTAATCCAAGCTCTATCCTCCTCTCTCAGGCTCTCGTACTCGTGCTTCGGCATAAACGCCTGACGCAGCGCATCTCCGATAATCGCCATTGACGAAGGGAAACCAAAACCCGTAATATAAACCCTTTTCACCTTGATACTTTTCCTGATTCCCGAAGAATCGAACGGGAATTTGGGTAACTATGGCGAACCCTAGATTGGGGGGTTTGCTGAAGAATGAACGAATCGAATCTAGGGTTCAGAATCTGATGAACAAGAAGAAAGATTTCAATTTTCGGAGATGGAAGGAGAGAGTATGTGAGATGGGAACAAATGGCGCGTGTAAGTTACGGCAACCGCCGTTTAGCGTGGGTAAACAATACACTACCAGATTGAGATTCGGTAATGTTTATAATTATAGAAAGACCTCAAGATTTAAAACAATGACAGATTTGCCCGCTAAATCCAAAAATCGTTTAAAACCCCCCAAATTCTTAATGATTCTAATCTAAAATTTACAATACCTGGTTAGCAGTTACAATAGAGGTGCCTCTTCTACGTGTCATAATCATATTTTTAGGAAGAGTTCATTAACCGAGTCAGAAAGATTAATTAGACCCAATAATAAGATTAATTTTAATTCCATTAGTATGTTATCTTTGGACATAATAATCTCATTTTCTATAAGTGTTGTACTTCAATATTTATTTTAAAATTAAATTTTATGTTATTTTATTAATTAAATAATCAATGGTTAAAAAACGCAATAAATTTATAGAATTCAAACGAAAAGGAGAAAAAAAATATTCAAAATCCATCTAAAAATTCAATTGTTAAATGATCCAAATAAATCTTTATAGTACAAAAAGTAATAAACTATTCTCCACTTTATTTTGACTTTCTTCGTTTTTAAAAAATACACATCTAAAATCTAAATATAATTAAAATATAAAAAATTTATAACAACCATTTAACAATATATTTTATTCAATTATCATATAAAAATATTAAATTATAAACAAATAAAATTGTAATTAAGATTTAAAATGTACTAATCATTTAATTACAATTATCTATAAAAACATTCAACAAACCATAAATCCAAATAAATATTAATATTTATACAAATATCAATAAATTATTATATTTATAATTCGACATACAAATTCTAAATTTTAAATATATATTTATAATATCACTTATTATTATTTTTGAGTTTAAAATATATAAATGATTAGAAATATGTTAAGATAAATAAAAAGAAACATGGTCCGAGGTAGAACTGGGGTGGACCACATCACCATTCTGAACTCTCGAACATGACTTGCTTCCCTTTGCTCCAGCATGCGTCAATGGCTCAAAGATGTCCTCATCACATACCCTCCTCAAATACCTCAAAACAATATGTTGATAATGTTTTGTTAAAAAGAACAAAAATTGTGTTTTTTAAAAAAATAATCTCTAAATCTAAAAAAATTAAATTAAATTGGTGAAAACTATATTTAAAAAATATGTCTAAACATTTTTATAAATTTGATAAGTAATTTTTTGATAAATAATAGTCAAAACATTTACTTACCAGCTACTTGCAAATTGCAACAACTCGCAATCTATCAACATCGTGGCTAGCAAAACGCATTGCACAGTGTCAAAGCGGCATAAAAGTTATAGATAAATAAAACTAAAAAATGACATCATTTTATAGCAAGTCGATATGTCCGAGTGGTTAAGGAGACAGACTCGAAATCTGTTGGGCTTTGCCTGCGCAGGTTCGAATCCTGCTGTCGACGCTTTTCCTTTTTTTTAAAAAAAAAATTCAGAGAAAAGGGAGGATTTCAAGCTAGGAATCTACACATTCATGACAATCCGAAGACCAACAAACATTCGTATCACATCATAATCTCGGGCCATCATTGTCATTTTTATTCATTACAAAACAATTATAAAAAAAAATGATAGGGGAAATATTCATTGGCCTATATTTCGTATTTGGAATTCTAAATGACATATTTTTAAAATCCAAAAAAAATCAATCATACAGAATTTTAGAGTTTATAATTGATGGGAGGATTTCATCCCTTCTTCCTTTACCATTCTGTCATCCCACATTGGATCCATTGGAAGAGTTTTTGGTCGCATGTAGTGTTTTTAATCTTCATTTTAAATACAGAAATCAGATTTTGATTAATGTAACCTACTACATTCATAATAATGGCAGCATTTGATTATCCCAACCATTGGTGCAGTAGCAAATTGATAGCTAAATAAATGAATTTTGCTTTTAGCACTTTGAAGACAAATTATCATTTAAAAAATAGCTTTATCATTCTTGCTAAAATCATGGTTTTTATTTTAAAAAAAAATCAAAATCAAAACTTAATGAATATTTATACATATTTTCTTTTGAATTTTAAAGTTATTTTTAACTTATTATTATTGTTATGATGATGATGATGATGTTGTTGTAATGGGCATGATGTGATGGGGACGTCCATGATTAATCTACACCAAACACTTCCCCTATACTTTGTTTTGTTTGTTTCCTCCAAAGGAATGTGTTATTTTGAAGAATTGTATGAATAATTCTTTTAAATATCATATATTTTCGTTAGGACATTTATTCATGAGAATTGTACTTTTGGATTGTTTGTCTAAAAGTTCAAACTCAATATATATAATCATATATAATTAAATTAAATCCGTTTAAATATAATTTTAAAAGTAAAATACATTTAAAATTAAAATGACATACATTTAAAGATCGAATTAAATATATATTAAATAACCTTGGTAATTTTAAAATTTACGGAACTATGGTGATAATAGTAATAAATTAATGATGATGTGCGCATATTCGATGAATCATAATAATAATGTTTTTTTTTTTGCATTATGGGCATCTTTTTTGGTGGGTCCATAAACTTTGGGTCATTTGTCATGGAATCTGAATTATTGCTTTGGTCAACGGAGCTCTCACATGAATAATGCATCACATCACTATACCATCACTTGTCGTAATTTGAATAATCGCAGTTTTAATATATATTTTTTGTTAAGTTGTTCTATTATAGTATTATCTTCCAGTATCTATCTTTTATTTTATGTTTTTTCGTGACCGGATATCTTGGATCAAAATCTATATTAATTTCGGGAACGAGAGCAAACCAGATGATATCTTCCCAATTTGAAGTTCGAATTCGGAGTGAGATAGACGTTTTATGTCTCTATTTTACCAGTTGAACTATTTAATTTGGATCATTTATATTTTATTTTATGTTGTACTAGGAGATAGGTATAATATAAACTTTTTGTAACATATATTACTTTCTCAAAAAAATTTCGTCATGGGATATTTTTAAGGAATATTGGGCGTAATATTATGGTGTTAATTTATTACAACATTGGGTATAAAGCAGAATGATGAAATGTAATATAAAAAATCGGAAGTAATATTTGTCTAAATTGAAGATAAAACATTAAATTGGTCTCGTAATTTTGTTTCAAGCTTTATATAATTATTTTACATCATTAGTTCAATTTGCTAATACATTAACTCCGATATATTAATTTACAAGATTGAAGAATTAAAACATATTCCAAATAAAATTGAAGTATACAAATACTTTAGCAACAAAAATAAGATTATAACATGCGATATGTCCAAAAGAACGTTAGAGTATTGACGATTGGTTTACAATGTTAAAATATATTCTAGTCAAACCAAAAAATAACAAACTATATGATAAAAATAGTTTGATATTAAAATGTATTTATCCCATATAAATAAGTAATCTATTATATAGGCGGTGCTGGCTTCTCCATTTATTAAAGAAATTAAGAATGTCAACTGATTTCTAAAACATAAACACTACGTTTACTTTCATACAATTGGTTTTGGATCAATTCATAAAAATATTAGATATAATCATCTCCCGAATCCTACGCTTCTCTAACTCCTTCAATTGAATAAACTTGTAACAAAAATGCAACCCAACCACCTAAGCCATTGCATCATCATCATTTATTTATGAATTAGTTGAAATTTAAAAACCGTACGATATAATTATATTTGAAATAAAATCATATAAAAAATGATTGATTGCTTTTGCAGAAACGAAATAGAAATCTAAACCCTAAACCGATAACCAAATAGAAATTTAATAAAATGGCATCTATCCAACCGTACCGGTAAACTCGGTGGCCGCACTCCGTGCCAACGTACAAGTCAACTTTACAACTGTTTAGCTTTAAAATCCAAAAACATTGCAATCATTTCATAAAATAAGTGCATTAGCATAAATAATTTCATTTCATATTTTATTCTTTTTTCATCCTTAAACTTCCATATGAAATTCACTATAAATGTAGCTCCATGTTGCTATGCAATGGCATTGTAACATTTCCTTAATTTCAATTTCAATTTCAAAAAAAAAAAAAGAATCATGAGGAAGATAGCATTAGGGAGCCGAGGAGAGGCTGCTCAGCCTGACTGCATCAAAGCCCTCGTCGTGGAATTCGTCACCACTTTCCTCTTCGTCTTCGCCGGCGTCGGCTCCGCCATGGCCGCCGGTACGTTTCCCTTTCCCGGTTTAGATCTCGACCGGATCCGGTTCATTCCGGTTTAAACTTTGTCTGTGCAGATAGCTTAGTAGGGAACACACTGGTGGGGCTATTCATGGTGGCGATGGCCCACGCCCTGGTGGTGGCGGTCATGATATCGGCCGGCCATATCTCCGGCGGCCACCTGAACCCCGCCGTGACACTCGGCCTCCTCTTCGGCGGCCACATCACTCTTTTCCGGTCATTCCTCTACTGGATCGATCAGCTGTTGGCCTCCTCCGCCGCTTGCTTCCTCCTCAACTACCTCACCGGCGGATTGGTAATGATTCCCTTCAAAAATCTCATCTTTCGATCCAAAATCTCCAGTTCTTGTCCTCATTTTCGTGTTTCTCTCTCTCTCTCTCTAGGGTACACCGGTTCACACACTGGCAAATGGCGTGGGATACACGCAAGGAATCATATGGGAGATCATATTGACATTCTCTCTGCTCTTCACTGTCTACGCCACGATCGTGGATCCCAAGAAGGGTTCGATCGATGGGCTGGGTCCGCTTCTTACCGGATTTGTTGTCGGAGCCAACATTTTGGCCGGTGGCGCCTTCTCCGGCGCGTGGGGGTCATGATATCGGCCGGCCATATCTCCGGCGGCCCCCTGACCCCCGCCGTGACACTCGGCCTCCTCTTCGGCGGCCACATCACTCTTTTCCGGTCATTCCTCTACTGGATCGATCAGCTGTTGGCCTCCTCCGCCGCTTGCTTCCTCCTCAACTACCTCACCGGCGGATTGGTAATGATTCCCTTCAAAAATCTCATCTTTCGATCCAAAATCTCCAGTTCTTGTCCTCATTTTCGTGTTTCTCTCTCTCTCTCTCTAGGGTACACCGGTTCACACACTGGCAAATGGCGTGGGATACACGCAAGGAATCATATGGGAGATCATATTGACATTCTCTCTGCTCTTCACTGTCTACGCCACGATCGTGGATCCCAAGAAGGGTTCGATCGATGGGCTGGGTCCGCTTCTTACCGGATTTGTTGTCGGAGCCAACATTTTGGCCGGTGGCGCCTTCTCCGGCGCCTCCATGAACCCGGCTCGCTCCTTCGGCCCTGCCCTTGTCTCCGGCGTCTGGACCGACCATTGGGTCTATTGGGTCGGACCACTTATCGGCGGCGGACTCGCCGGTTTCATCTATGAGAATTTCTTCATTGATCGCTCTCATGTCCTAATTGCTAGAGACGAAGAACAATAATGACAAAAAAAAATGTACCTTAATTGTGTGGGCAAGAGATAATAATGCAAGAGTTTGAGGGTTTAATCAATGTTTAGTCTCAGTCTTGTCTTAATCCTTTTGTTGTTTAAGTGGATAATCTTTGTGATAAACAAGTGAGTTTGTGTCTTAATGCAGGTGTAAAGCCCTTGAACTATCAAAAATCTTACAAGTTTACTGAATAATTTACAAATTGGTTAGTGTGTACGGAATTTCAAAACTTCGACATCGACCCGAAAAAATCGATCAGCTAATTCATCGATCCTCCGAGCGAGAAAATCGTTCCGAAACTTGAATCTAACCCGAGCCACTCTTCTTCTTCTTCTTCTTCTTCTTCCTTCATCTGTTTGCTCAACTTAATGATGTCTAGTTTGATCTCTTCAATTCTCGGATGCATCATATCTCCAACCACAAAGACATGAGCTTGATTCTTCAGTACGATCCAGCTACAGCCTGGCTCCTTATTCACGCCTCTCGATTTCATCAGCCCCATCACCCGCTCCACCTCTCCCGTCCTTCCCAGAGCCGTGTATATGCTCGACAACAGCACGTAGGCCGATGATTCCCCTGACCCGAGTGACATTAGCTTCTCGCCCGCAATCGCTCCTAACTCGTATTTCCTATGGTTCTTGCAAGCGCTTAGCAATATTCTCCACAAGCACATTCCGTGGTCTATCGTGTCTGCTGCCTCGATAAAGTCCTTTGCCTCTTCAAGCCGTCCAGCTCGGCTCAACAGATCGACCATACACGCGTAGTGTTCGACTCTCGGAACGAGTCCGAAGTCACTAGAAATCATGTTGAAATAATACCAACCTCTTTCGACGAATCCCATATGACTACATGCTGATAGAATGTTCACGAAAGTTACATAGTCGGGTTTCGTGCCATCTGCTAGCATTTCCTCAAATAGCTCTAAGGCCTCGCCTCCATGCCCGTTTTGGGATAGCCCTGATATCATTGCGTTCCAGGAAATTATGTCTCTGTCGGGCGTTCTCCTAAAGGCGAGGTTCCCATCTGCTAGATTCCCGCATTTCGCGTACATAGTTGAGAGAGCGCTTCCGATGGGAATCTCAAGGCCGAATCCGTGTTTGATGGTATGGCCGTGTATTTGCTTTCCTAGCTCCAAGGCAGCGAGTGAGGAGCACGCCTTCAGAACGCTGGCCAGCGTGAGTTCATTCGGGAGAATACCATCCATTTTCATTCTACCGTACAAGACCAAAGCCTCTTCGTTTTCTGAATTCTGAACATACCCGCTAATGATCGAGGTCCAGAGAGCAATATCGGGTTCTCGTAGATAATCGAACCCTTTCCTAGCATCTGCTATACTCTCACATTTCGCATACATGTCAACCAAAGCCGTGGTCACAAATAACTGTTTCTCGTATCCCAATTTCAACGAATACGAGTGCACTTGCTTCCCTTCTTCTAAGTATCCGATGCCACTGCAGGCATTAAGAACCCCGACAATGGTGTATTCGCTCGGCTTAATTCCAGATGAAAACATACATGAGAACAGCTTTAAGGCTTCGAGTGAGTCCCCGTTCTGAGCATAACCGGTGACCATTGCAGACCAAGTGATTGAATTCCTATCATCGGACAATTCAAATGCCTGGGATGCATCAATCAAGCTCCCGCACTTTGAATACATTGTAACGAGAGCGTTCCACGCCGAGACAAACCCTAGCAACCCGTTCTTAACCATGAGACAATGGATTTGCCTGCCCATACCAACGTATTCAGGTTCAGCCAACGCGCTAAGAACAGCGGTAAACACAAATTCGTTCTCGGTTTCTTCAACCTTACAAAACAATTTGAACACTCCTATTGCCTCTTTGGGCAGCCTTTGTATCGCGTATCCAGAAACCATCGAAGACCAAGTGAATGAATTTCTTTCAGGCATCACGTCGAAAACCTTGCGCGCATCCCCGACATGGCCCGCTTTACAGTACATGTTCACCATTGAAGTCCCAACATACACATCCTCGAGACTCAGTGTCTTAGTTACAAGGGCGTGAGCCTGCTTCCCACCAGAATCGCTTCCAAGGCTCGACTCAGCGGCGAAGATTCCGGAAAAGGTGTGAGCATTCGGCAACACGTTTTGCGACCTCATCTGCTGAAACAACCGCATGACAGTGCTGGCACCCGAAAGACCGCCTTTCTGTGAGTACCCATTGATGAGGCTATTCCAAGAGACGACATCCTTGTCCGTTATGGCGTCGAAAACGAGCTGGGCTTTTCCCAAGTTGCCACATTTAGCGTAAAGGTTGACGAGGCTATTAGCAAGGAAGAGGCAAGAAGATGAGCCGGTTCTGATGATCCGGGCATGGACTGCACGGCCTGCAGAGAGGTTCCCTTGCTGTGAATACTGTGAGAGCTGGTTGAACAAGGAGCCGCTCGTTTGGGGAAGAGTCATCAATTTCAAACTCCGAGTGACCAACCTAGCTGGGCATTCCACATGCCAAGTACTCAAAAAAAAAATGGTGGTTAATGCAAATTCCCTGGCAATGTCCAAATCTATGCCTGAAACAGTAAACGAAGCTGTTGTTGTAACTTTTAAGCAATGGCAAAAGAAGAGGAACAATAACGAGAAGAATGAACCAAGGCAAGTTCGATCAAATAGACTACGACAAGATCTGTTCGTTTCCCTGAGCCCAAAAAAAAAAAGGAAAAAAAACCTGCATTTAAACACAAGAAAGGATAGATTTTTTTTTCCAGTAAAAGCACATTGTGGACAGTGACAGATGCTAATTCGATAGTCAACAAGATGAACAGAGTATCGGGTATGAGGTGGTAATAAGAGACAATTCAAAGCAAAAACCTCTCTGGGGCATTTCGTCGAACACATACCATACAGACACGAAAAAAAAACCGCCAAAAGGGTTGATGAAAAAGATCAGAATCGTGATGTCGAGCATATGAAAACCATTGAAAATATTAATAAATTTCGAAATGAAAATGGAAAAGGAAAAACCTTTAGCGTGATAAATGAACGATCTCTGTTGCGATCCTTCTCCTTCGTTCGCCGGAGGTTGTCCGAGTGAAAAACCTGGTCCTGCTTTACCATGATTTCGGTTTGAGCCCCGAAATGTTCAAGAACTTTGCAATTTTAACCAATATTTCTGATTATTACAGAAAAGACCCAAATGTTAAACTGAAATCGAGCAAAGGCCCCCTAAGGAAAAATAGGATCTACACATGGACCCTTTGATTTTTACTTTTATACGAAGAACCCATTCGACACAACGAATAGTGGAAAATAAAAAATCATGATGAATCTATAAAATACAAATAGATATGTAAAATATACGAATTATATGTAAAAAACATTCTAATTCCAAAAACTTAAAACTTGATTTCCTTATTAGTAACATTCTTTTAGTTTTTTTTTTATAGAAATGGACGAACGGTTCGGTTCAGATTAATCGGTTATGATTAGTTTGAATTCGGTTAAATCAGTTATTAATTAATTGATTTGAATAATAGAACCGAACTAAAAACTAAAAAAAAATCCAAGTTGTTTAATTTGCTCAAGGATATGGTTGACAATGGGGAGTTTGATATGGTCATCTCCGCCGATGAGTGTATTCCAATGCAGGGAATGGATGGTTGATCGGGCAACCGACACGAGCCATAGCAAGCCGCTCATAGGCAGATTGATCCTACAGATTACAGTGTACCAAATCTGGAAGGAACGGAACAATAGGATTTTCCGATCGGAGCGAACGACGAGTGATGTGATTCAACAGCGGATTGATCGAGTATTGCGCAACATCCTGATTTCTGTTACAATGGCAAGTAACGGTGGCAGCCTTTCCACGTTGCAAGACTGGTTCTTCTTGTCGGAAAGTATCCGAACGCACCAACGTTAGAAACACGCACACCACATTCACATTTTGCTTATTTTGTGACATGGTTATCCTATTTTGTACGGCTGTGGCTGGATGTTTTGTAAGTAAACTATTTTAAATTAATGGATAGATTCACCTTATACCAAAAAAAAAAAGCTTATTATTGGATGCACAATTGCCGCATGTAGTGCCGTACATATCTATGCATATATATGTATACACTATACAGACACATATATATATATATGGATACTCGTGTGTATGCATGCATACACGTGTGCATGTGATCGGTTTTGTTGATACGATCCACACGAAACTCGTGCAAAAATACGATGAAAGATACATCTCACTTTGCAATAATATTGTATTTTTTTTTAATTTGTGGAAAGTTTTCAAAAGAAATTTGTGAGTCGGCAATGCAAAATGCGATATAAAAATGAAAATTTATTTGCTAAAAAACAAAGAATATATAAATTTCGTTAGAGATTTGATTAGATCTTTGAATGGCTTAAAATCGACCGAACAAGTCATAGTTCATGTTACCATCATTACATAAGCTGCATCCATTCCCTATTGTCATAATAGGACCACTTTGCCTTTTTTTTTCTTTCCTTTTTTCGAATGCAAATTCAATGAAATAAATCAAATATATTGACTTTTCAACTTTATATTTCACATACTGCATCATGAATTTTCGATTTCATATAAATTGTGACACGATATCTCAGAGCTTACTTTTTTCCATATAAATAATGTCCCAATATAATATTATTAAGATTTTTTCAATCTTTTCTTTTATTTATTATTCACATTTTATATTTTAAAGAAACGATGCACATCTAATTTCTATTCACTTTCACATTTTGTTTCTATTTAAAATTATCTATTGCTTAAAATAAGTAATTTATTTATTTAAAAGTATTTTTTTATATTAGATCATTCTGTTGTTATTGTTTACAAAAATTCTATCCAATTAAATTTAAATACTTTAGTATATGATCTTATTTTGACCCGAAACAGTTTTTTTTTCCTCTTAATTCAAAATGAAATCAACGGAATAATTACAATATTTCTTGGAAAAAATCATCATTTGTTTCTTTCCAAGTAAAAGACGGAAATTCTGTTCTTTAGTCGCCGTTGTGGTTAATTGACTATACATTAGAAGATTCGTTTCATGCATTTTATTATGATCACATGTCTGAATATATAAATGCATTTGGTATCTATAATTTAAGAATTGTTTTCAACAAAAAAATATATATATAATTTTTGGATACAGAAGGAAACAAACCCGAAAGGGAGCCGACGAATTATTACCAAGACCCTATTATTATTATTATTATTATTATTATTATTATTATTATTATTATTACAAACAATATCCCAAAAACTCCACCACTCCCTTTAAAACATAATAACAGCATTTTTATTTTCAACACACTTCATTCATAATCACTCGGGAAAAAAATTCTACAATTAATTATACAATAAATATCGATTACCCACAGATATTTTTCGGGGAATGAATAATTTTTGTTTTAATAAACCACGTGAGCGAATAATTAATCTTTGGTGAGTTGGTTAAATACTATTGGACCCGACAGAGTGCGTGGCACACGATCCGGGCGAGAGTGTGAGTTGCTGAGATAAAGCCACGTGTCAATAGGAAAATCCAATCGTACGGTCATAAGAAGGTCCATATGGTTGTCATTATACGCGGAGCAGGCAAAAACAGCTGGATCTTACTTTTTCTCCGTACAATGTTTTAGAGAGTTTCTGATAATTTATTTATTTATTTATTTTTATTTGTGTCGGCTAAAAGAACATGGAAGAGTCGGTGAGTAGAGTACATTACTTGTAGAATTTTATATCATACCTTTGAATATACATATATATATATATATAAATGAATATACGATTGCACAACAATCAATACTTAAATCGAAATCTATCTATGATTTCAAATTGAATGGAAATAATTTTTCCTGCATTTTTTATTAATAAATAATTTCTAAATAGATATCACTTTTTCTTTTTCTTTTTTCCTTTTTCGGGGACCGGTTTACTAATTATGTTTTCACAAACTGTGCATGTACATTTCTATAACAAATTCCATTTTAGACTTTATAATATAATAATTCGTCATCATTAAAAGTTTTTTTTTTTCATGTGATAGAGAATTACCGCTCGGACCGAAGCCTGGATTAATCTCCCGGCTGCAAGTCTGCTTTGTCTCATTGGACGTCGCATTGCTTCTTGTCCGAAAGTCCCCTCTACATTTGACCAAAAATCATCTTTTAGCTCATATGTTATTTTCGCCGACAATCATATTTATAATCAATACACAAATATTGCTGAGTTTACATTATTCTCTCTTAATTCGAAGTTATTATTCATTTATAACTATATATATATATATATTTAGATTACTACAATTAAATTGCATTATTCTTCTTCAATCCGAACACAGGATCTATACAACAAATGGCATTCCAACCACACTCTACGGTCAGAGTTACAATCATTCGACCACGACTTTTTTGGTTTATTTGTAATCTTATAATTCAACTAGTTATATATTATATATTGTACGTCGAAATATGCATATTATGATTATTAGAAATAAATTTCTAGACGTGATGTTATGCGGTTTTGTGAGTTTTTTCAAATCCGAATTATGGAATCTAATCTTTTGGCTGTAAAATGGGGACTATAATCCACATATTGGTCTATTGAGACTATGTAAACATTTTTTTATTTATATATTTACTTTTACCCCCAAAAAAATCTATATCGGAAATCTCTATTTTCAATAGTAATTTCTAATATCTAAAAGCTTCCTCACTTTTTCTCTTATTTTTATATTATTGTTTTTTTTTTCAATATTATATAAAAATATGCCGAATACACGAAAGAAAGAGACATAATTGTTAATGGAATGTTTGCTTTATACATATGTTTTTTTCCGTTATAAACAGAGATTTTTTTCCGGGAATATATATATATATAATAATTACATAATAGCACTGTTAATAGATAAAGTGAAAGACATGGATCGTCGTCGACATTATTGCGCAACCTTCTGTTTTCAACCATTGGACTATTCATGCTCCATAAAACGACACATTCGACATACTTTAAAACATCAAAGCTTGAGAACCCCACAAACTCCATGTATATATATATATTATATAATTTATTTCTTTTTTAAAATTTTCTATTGGGGTGAATTTTTCAAGTTTCAGCTTTTTAGTTTGTGTAAAAATTATATCCGTTCCATTTTTGTCGATTTTCTTATTTAATTTGTCTTTTTTTTTTCGAATTCGTTCATGTTTAGTTTTTATTAAGAAAATATTCATTTTCTAGTATACTTTTTTTGTTTATGTTCCAAATTACAGATTAGTTTCATGTTGTTGTTTTTTGGTTGAAGATTAGTTTCATGTTTCATTCGAACTCGGTCAATTTATTTATGTTGATTTGTATATCAAATTCTATATAAATACAATTATATATATCATTCGAATCCTTATTATCTAATCTAATAGAAATTATACCATCTCCACCTACCATTGCAATGATGATATTTTGTTGTAATGAATTCTCTCCATATATACACAAACATCATTAGCTTTGAATATAATTTTATTTTTTTTGGAGCTAAAAGGGACAATAGGAGATGGAACGCAACCTTATATTATATTTTATTTGTCCCTTTGCATAAACCAATTTTATTTTTTATTTTGTCTATTTTGAAGGGGTAGCTCTACACTGCTAGGGTTTCTCCATAATATAGTTCATAATCAATGACATGGATAATAACAAGTAGACAATATGTGTAAAAAAAGAGAGAAAAATAAAAAAATCGTAACTAAGCTAAAAGAATGTCGGTACCAAAAGTAAAAATTAAATGAAGAATGCCCTTGACACCAACTACATCAATGCTAAAATAATATGCATGATTTCTTTTATACTATAAAACTTACAAACTTTTTTATATTTGTATGATAATTTCTTTTATAAAATGTTTATGTATGGTGATACGTCTTTGAATTTATATTTAAGAGATAGTTATACTAATTTGTAAAGGGTACAAAATAGTATTATGATAATTATTTATCGCATATTCTTAGACCCTACGTTATAAATTCGACCCAAATTTCAGAGACCCATTAATTAAATAAGAGGGGACGAATTGAAAGATCAATATAATATCATTTTTTTCATGTTATAAAGGAAAATAATGTCTATAACTTTTAGGTAGATTTTTTTTTCTCCATGGAAAATAAAACAAAAGTATTTCAAAGCACACGCCCTTCACACTGTCCTGTAGGGTACCATCCTTCATTTCTATGCATATAAGTATAAAGTTCTGACTCATTGAGAAATCATTGAGACACCCAAAAAAAAATAAAGAGAGAGCGAGGAAAAACCAAAGCTCACCCATTCATCGCTCTCTCTCTCTCTCTCTATCTGAAGAACATAAAAAACAGTAACTTTCTTTTTTGAATCCGACACCCAACCCAAAATGTATCGCCTTTTGGCTTAAGATCAAATTCCTCGCGATCCCCATCTTGCTAAATTCGTCTCTCTACTTGCCCATGTCGCCTGACGTCGGATTCCATGCATGCTAACGATTCTCAACTCTTCTCGACATTTCATCGAACACTTTGAACACAAACAACACGACAATGGTGGAATCAACTCACCAAGGCTCCGACATTGAATGCTCCACCACCAATCTCTCTCCTCCTTTTCCGTCACCTTCTCCGGGTGAAAAGCGTAAAAGGGTCATCGGTAGTCCGGTAAAGCATCCCGTGTATCGGGGGGTGAGGATGAGAAGCTGGGGAAAATGGGTGTCGGAGATTCGCGAGCCTCGGAAGAAATCGAGGATCTGGCTCGGGACTTTTCCGACGGCGGAGATGGCGGCGCGTGCACACGACGTGGCGGCGATGAGCATCAAAGGAAGCTCCGCGATCCTGAATTTCCCTGAGCTCTCCGGTTCATTTCCTCGTCCCGTTTCTCTCAGCCCGAAAGATATCCAAGCTGCGTCGGCCAAAGCTGCTCTCATAGACCCCAAAACGACGCCGCTCCATTCTCAAGCTAAAACGACGCCGTTACAGCCCAAAGATAAAACGACGGCGTTTGACCTTAGAGACCAAACGATGCCGTGTCAGGCTACTTCCGAGACCAGTGAAACGACGTCGTGGTCTTCAGCTTCTACTTTGACTTCTTCGTTTAGTGACGTGGACTTGTCGGATATTACTGTTCCGGACGAACTGGGTGAGATAGTCGAGTTGCCGAGTCTGGGAACGAGTCTGGGCGAGTTGCGGAGCGAGTTCATGTTGTTCGACTCGCTGGACTCGGACGGTTGGGTTTACACGTCGCCATTGTTAAACAGCATGGAAGATCTTACGTATGGCAATGCTTCTTTGTTCGGCCCGGTCTCCGCAGAAGAAAGCTTTTCGTGGAATTATTAGGGATTTTGAAGCGCAAAAAAAAGTAACTTTTTTTTTTTGGGGTTTTCATAAAAAAAAAAAAGTTTTTTTGTCGGTTTGATTTTCTGATTAGTAAGAGATATATATGGATTTGGATCGTGTTGTAAAATAGCTTTTTGCCTGTATTTTTCTTGGGTGAAAAAATCAACTGTAGTAATAATTATAAGCCTTGCCCATACTGTTGTAGTAATAATAATAATAATTGTGATGAATAATGTCACTTAATTACATACAATTTTAATTTAATATTGTCTGTCATTCATGCATGGCTAAAAGAAAATGTCATTATCCATAGATACCAATTGAAGATGGAGGTTCTTGATATATATCATTCCTATAACCACGATGAAGTTGACTATTGTTTTCATTTATATAATATATAAAAATATTTAAGGGAGTGAACACCGTCCATCCATGTCGTATGTATTTAATTTCTTGCCAATGCGTTGGTCCCATTAAAATCCCCTTCATTTCATATATTTGTATATATACCCTAAATTTAAAATCGAATCATTCAATCAAATTAACCAAAAGCTAATCTATAAACGAGGTTATAAAAATCACAATATTCCAAGTTCTTTTAAAGGCACTAGTATACATTATATATATTGCGAATAATTAAAAATGTTTAATTATAACGAGTCAAATGTTCTAGAGGAAAACTTTGTTTTGCTACAGAAATTTGTTCGGTTTAAAAAAATATATATACTCATCCATTTTTTATAAATCCACGAATGGGTGAGAAATAGATTATTACTAAAAGAAATTCGGAAAGTATATAAATTTATTTATTGTAGAAGAATAATAATAATAATTGTGATATGACATTTCTCTCTTATTGATAAAAAAACAAAATGCGTTTACCATTAATGATTTTTACTTTATTGATAATAACTTTTGCTTAGGCGATATCACTTTGTAATTAATGTAGAGCATTAGGTGATATATCATATGCGCAACATGAAACTCTTAGCCTCCACGTACATCATAGGTGATACATCTACACACACATATGCGTGTGTATATATATATTATCTGTTACACAAGAATAAATTTTCTGAAAATGGACTGATATATATTGTTAAGATTTATATTGAGATATTCATAGACTAGTTATGGTTTTTTTTTGGATTGATCATGAGATATATTAAACAACGTTTAACTATCTTTAAACTTTTTATATTCAAATTAATCTTCATTCGTCGTCCTAAATCAATGCATAAAACTGTAAAAGATTAGCTTGAAATATTTTTCTATTCTCGTAACAGGATTCGAACTCATGACCTTTTGTTAAGTTACGAAAATACTAAATCATCTACACTAATTTTTTAGATTTTTTATAGTTTTCTTTATTAAAATTTTTTAATTTAATTATTCCTTCTCATAAATGTTTGTTTTATTTTTTATTTTTTGAATCTACAAGTATACCAATAAATAATAATTACTTATAGTACCCGATTATACTCATAAATTATTTTCCCAATTTTTTAAAAAATAAATCGCAAATCCACGTTTAAAATTTGGTGGCGTCAGCTTGCATTATTATACGAAGAAAGTTTCTGTCGTTGTCTGAGATGAGCAAAGATGGATTCTGCGTACCCACCTTTCCTTTTGTCTGCATGGTTATGAAGAAAAAGAAATATTTTTTTTAAGAGAAAAAGAAGAAAACTGACACATCTGAAATGTTTTTGGCCCAATTATTTATTTCATGTCATTTTCTATTGTTATCATTATTTATTTCATGTTCCGAATTTTGTGTAACGGCAAGCAAACAACTATTTGTATTCATGTATGTAGATTTATATATTTTCATCCAAAAATATTACCCAAATGTTCATTGATAATAAAAAAAAAATTAAATCTTTAAATAAAAATCAAATGTCTTCATTTAAAAAGGGAAAATCCTACATAAAATATTAAACTTTATAAAAAATACTGCAAAACATTAAAATTTTAAAAGTCCAAAAACATAAAATAGAGGTATACATACAAATATATATACTTATATACAAATATACGTTTAACATGTATATGTATATAGAAACATATGTATTTTAAATATATAGATATACACACATATATAAGTATATCGATATTTTATTTATTTTTTTCCAATATGTAAAAACAAATGCATATAAATAAATTTGAAATTAATCAAATCTATAAAATCTAAAAAAGTCAAACAAGATTGTAAGAAAAACCAAACAAATTTTTTGTATATATAACATGGATTGCCTACACATAAACTATAATGATTTATATATCTAATGAAGAACTCATATGAGATATAATTTATTTTCTATTCAAACAGCCACTTCACTATCATTATAATAATAATGATGATGATGATGATGATGATAAAATGTATCATTCTACTATAATCTGCTCTTTTATTATTATAACAAGCAAATATAATTGTCAAACATATCGTATTTTGACATTTTAATATTCTATTAAATTCGATAATTTGTAATATTAAGTGTCAGTTTTGATAAAATTTTACATATAACAAGATTTTTTGTTGGAAATAGATAAATATATAAACGAGCGAATAATATGATTAACGTGTCAATAAGAGTGGGGTATTTTTTTAATCTTAGTGGGCAAAAGACTTGAATATATAAAAAATGATATCCAAATGAATAAAACGTGAGAATACACACACACACACACACACACACACTATATATATATATATATAACAAATCAATAATTACGAAAATCCAATCAAATTAGAACGTACAATAATGCATTTAATGCACAACGGGCCGATTGGTTATATATGATCGAGTCTTTTGAATAAAACTTAACCTTCCAAAAACATAACACTATATATACACACACATATATTTAAAATAAAATAAAAAATAAAATAACCAAATATCTCTAACCCTACGTACAAATCAATGAACATTTTCTTTTGTTTTCGGATTGGTTTGGCATTGAATTACGAGACCCAATAGAGGGTTATTATTAAATGATGATTATTCAATAATTAACTACCGGACAAAAAAAAATGTTAAACTCTTCAGTTTAGTAACTTTTGTTACAATAATTTTTTTTAAAAATCAAATATGAAGCTCTTACTATAAGTGGATGTGAACTGTGTTCAAAGAGGAACCTGTCTTCCCTAAAAAGACATGCAGACATTTTCATACGAGCAACACAGTTATACCTGAAAACTTTGCTCATGAAACTCAGATCCTGGGCCTGAAGCTTCTTCCTCTGGCTACAACTCTTGTCAGAAGACGGGAATTTTGGCCGAGAATTCTCATTTCTGGTCAGTATAAACGGCATCGACGTCATCAAGTTCGAGTAGTTTCTGCATAAGCTCTCTGTTCAGTTCCATGGCCTCATCGTCCACCTGAGGGAAGAACAATAAAGACTGAAGCTTTGGAATTTCTGCATAAGCTTTGGACTGAGAAAGAGTATTCAAGCAGAAATACAGATAAAGCTGTGGCTCTAAATCGGGGGGAAAACCAGTCGAAGAGCAAGAATAAAAGAAGGGGCGATGAGCAGTGATGTAACCCCCTTTTTTTGTCGAGATGGATATTCGCGGATCCAAGAACACCGAGTATTAACCGTCTTCTAGGACATTACTACCCTAATCGCAATTTTCAATAGTGTTCCAGAGCAAGTGCAATCTCTTATATTACCAAGTGCATATCCAGACAAATAGCAACTGAAGGTTCTCTCATCTAAAATGCATTATATCCTTAAAATGCTTCCACTAATTAAAATAGTGGTAATGGATTTGGCTCTATAAGAGAGGAAGATCTGAAGAAAGAAAACTGACAATGATAAGGGCAGAAGGGACGATACCTCGATAGTAGTTAAAGGGAGCAGCTCAGAGCCGTTGTCAGGCTCGAAGTTTATTCCTTCCTCCCGTAGCTTTGACAGTATCTTCGTGTAGTTCTCTGAAGAAGTTACAATTTTGTAATACCTATAACAAAAAACAGAGACAAGGAACAAATATTTCATCCATTAAAAAACATGGTCTAGAGATCATTAACTTCATCCCATTTCTTGATCGGTTCACTTTTCCTGATTAGTTCCAAGTCCAAGTACAATCTCAAGAATATTTCTCACCTAATTCTAACAAAAGAGCAAGATTCTTTTAGTTATTCATGATAGATCCCAGAAGAGAAATCACGTCTTTCTCATGTCTCATGTGCTATTATCTTCTTATTCAAACATAACTTTAGTTTTATCAAAGATCATTGAGCAGAACAAAAGGAAGATCAATGGCAGTTTTCGTGCATAAAAGAAAATGTATTAACCTTTCTTCCTGATCTTCATCAGGGTCATCTTTGTAAGTCAGGGGTTCAATAACATCCTCGGCTCCAGCATCTAAAGCAACAGAAAGGAGCTGATCTTTGTCAGCATCTGTAACCTTTATATTCACAACCCTTACCCGTCTGAACTTGAACATGACAGATCCTGGATCGGCCATCTTTCCCCCATAATCCTTAACAACCTCTCTTACCAACGCTACTGATCGAGTAATTTTATCTGTCGAGACCTCGACTACAATACTAACTCCACCATAGCCATATACCTGATTAATTTTAAAGACAAATACTATTTCAGGACCATTGAAGAGATGTAATTTGGAAAAGAGAAAAACAAAAAGATTGATACATGGAAGACATGTTGACCAGACCAAGACAACACATTTAACACACAAAAAAAGGCAATCATGGTAATCACTAATCAGAGAGTTAAATCAAGTAACTACATAATTGGGCGATTTTTCAGTAATGATCAGAAATTTTTGCATTAGGTAGCCCAAAAACCATTGATGGAATTTCATGTTACGACCCATTACTCCATCCTAATCATGATGGCAGCACATGCAAATAGACAACTAGCGTCGAAGATTTTGACCTGACCTCGTAAATTTTCTCGATGAAAGCTTCCTGTCCCTTCTCCGAAGCCCTTTTAATATTACGCTCCAAAATATCCTTTGGTATATCTAGTTCCTTTGCTTTCTCAAGTATAGTAGCCAGAGCAGTATTGGAAACTGGGTTTGGACCACCTTTCTTGACACTGCACCATAAACCCACCTAAACTGCATGATAGCGTTTCTCATAACTTATAACCAATCAACTAGCTGTTTAACTAACAATATATAACATAAGATTACTTTTAAGCTTTCAGTAATAACTACATTGCACGGGGAAGCTAACATTTTAAAGACTTACGCAGATACAACCTCCTTTCCAATCCTCGAGTATAGTTTCGCCTTCTTTGCATCTTGAGCCCCCTGTATTTGTACACACTCAGGACCTTTTAGTGTAAAGTTCGTAAGCTTGATTATGGTTATTTCAGACCAATTGTAACCAGTCATTACATAAATAAGTAGTCATAAACAGAAGACCCATATCTTCTTTTTCATCTTAAATCTTAATCCAATGTTTGCCCAGGCTACACTGAAGTGCAAGCTGAAGCTAAAAAAATACCCAAATGCAGACACACACACATTGCATAATTTGGACTTGAAGCATTCCAAATTCATAGCATACATTAGAACAACAAAGACCCCTGAAACATATAGGATTGTTCCCCTCACATAGTCACAACAAAGTCAACACCATAAACCCATAAAAAATCGCCGATACATCTGTATATAAGCGGCAACAATGATAGATATCCAAATTCTCTCAAAGGGTTTCCTCAATGCGTTTTAACTTCATACACTACCACCTGTTATTACCACCTACAGGAAACTACTGCAATTCAAGGTCTAATTGGCATCTAATTTTGAGACTGAGTGAATATCCATATTTCAAGTTGTAATCAGATACAAACGTTATCGAGATTTTAAAGCTTTTGACGTAAAAAATTGCACATTTGACTCCTAAAAATCCCACAAAAACCGTATCTAAATTTCGAAACAGCACCCACTATTCCTCTGAATCATTTCACCCAACAAGCGGGCTGCATCAACAGTTTCCACCTTCAAAGCTCATAAATTTCTATACCCACCAAATACCTGGACAAGACAACAAAGCTCTATACTTAATTATTCAAATTAGAATTGAATTCCACTTTTTCTATGAGGCATTTAATCAAACAGGTGATAACAAAGATAGGAACTTCAAAGTTCTTCCAAAACCCAAAATCACTGATACCCAAATTCGAAATTACGTAAACTCTCCAACATTCATGACCACGAGAGAGAGAGAGAGAGGGGGGAGAAGAGCGGGGACGGACCTTCCGGCCGGCGACCTTGGAG